AAATCGTTAATATGTGCAACAATTATCATGATAGCTTAAATGTAGTACATACCCGTGCCATAGTCCTATCGACACAACACCCAGTAATAACTAGACCATTTCTTTTATCAGGACACCATCTTTCAAAAACTCACGTGATGATCCACTCTGTGAAAAGACTTTATTAAACAAACCTGTTCGAACGGTTTATAGTAAAGCTAAATATCAATGAACTTACTTGTAACATACTAGGACTGGCCATCATTATGCAGGACCCTAAATCATCAAAGTTGTCCATGTTCTTTAAGTTTGAGATATGTTTAAATACAAAGGGATTGGATATGGCAAATTGTTTCCTGATTTTGGAATTCATCATGTTGATGTATGTCTGATAAACTGCCATATATTTTTTGGCTAAAGAAAACGCATAATAAATGGGAACGGATTCAAATTCTGGGTGTGCTTCCCAATATTCGTCAAGAATCAAGTGTAACTCTTGAGCACGCCCCAGTGCGGAAACAGGCATGAGACAACGGACCACCACGTTGAACTATATCATGAACCAATCCTTTATGATTTGGTTTGATTAGGAAGTAAGTCAGAATCCAGTAGATAAATTGGACAACATTCTTATGGCCACTAAAATGTTTCATGAAGTGTGTTTAGCCAAAATGCCCTTTTCAAAGACTTTTGTAACTTTTTTGTTCGCCACTTGTTCACCAGTCTCAGTATTTTTTTTCTGCACTATTTTATCATAATGGTTGTAATGAATTAAATGAATAAACAACCTTTTCCTGACAAATTAAGTATGCCTGAAAGTAAAGAAAATACCAAACAATAAGCTCCTTGTCCTCCTGTTCACTTATAAATTCATATGTATATAATCAATGAAATGCGAGACTTATACGATTTCAGGGATTTTTCATTATTTGGACACTCTTTCTAATGATACTTAATGATTAACTATATAATAGATTTTTATACCATATATTTAACATATACTGTAGAAATTAAATTAATCGTCATCGAAGTACTTTAATAATTTATTAAAGTAGTTTAGCTTCACAACACATATCAATTTTAAAAAATGAAGCTTTAAGATCTTTACTAAAACAACAATATGCTGCTTACTAAAATTATTGTGCCATGTGTTATTACTATTTGCAAGAGAGTATTAACTCTGAAAATTTTATTTCTAAAGCCTATACTAATGATAATACTTTACCAAGTTATCTTCAATTAGGCAATACTGTTTGCACAAACTGTTATAATGGAATAGTTATAAATAGCATATTAGAATTTAAACAATATTCTTAAGATACAGTATTATATAGTAAAGTTGAAAAAGTAATTAAAATTAAAAACATTAATACAATTTTATTTTTTTTCAAGATATAACAGTGATGATGAATATTTTATATGATTGTGAGAACAAAGAAAAAAATTTAATATTATACTCATTTGATGAATTTAAAGAAACTATAAAAGAAGATATGATTAAAAAATTTTTTTAATGAGTTGTATTTGTTATCTAATCTACTGTATTTTTTAAAAGTAAAGATTTACAAATATAAATAAAAAAGCAAGTTTTATTTATCTGTTGTTTTCTTTACAGGATTTATAACAAGTTTGTAAATAATACAAAAAGAGACTTGGCAATTTATATTGATTCTGTTAATGCTTCTAACTTCTTAATAGATACTTTTGCTAATTTAGATTTAATTATAATATTCTATATAAAATAGCTATATTTAAAAAACATGTTAAGAATATTGATTTTATATTTACTAAATACTTAAAAAATATAATAGTATTAAAATATTATTTTTTTTTTTTATTCTTTGACGATCTTGTCAGAACTTATGTATAGTTTACAAATTAATCACAAGGACTAACTCTAGTTAATAATAACAAAGCTGTAGCTGCAAGCCCAACCTCACCTGGCTACTCTTAGGCACCCAGATATGACTGTCACACAGATTCACGAATAAATCAGAATATATTTTAGCTCTTTAAGAACTTGTGGGAGACAAAGAAAATACATATGAAGAAAAGAAAAGAAAAAAAAAACTAAAAAGAAAAGAAAAAAATGTGCAGTGTATAGTTTGGCTATCGAAGCCTAATAAAAATTATATGGTACTAAGTGTTGAAGTCTCTACATTATCCAACACTAATATACTATATGTAATTGGTATATGTATTGTTTATTTTGAATACATGTAGAGGAAAATACATAACTCCCAATTCCTGATTTGGTTTGTATAAACACTGTTAATTACTTGTAGGAGGCAAACCAAATTGCCTACTTTTTGTCAGAAAAACCTTGAGATAGAAAGGAGGGTAGGAGGCAGCCAACTTGAGAAGGACAGTAAGAGTTATGCTATACAGAGTAATATATCTAACTAAATAGCTACTTTTGCCAAGGCTTCCATAGTACTTAACAAAGCTCCAGAGCTTGTCTGCTACTTTTTCGCTTGGTAGCATCAAAGACTTCTGCCAGGAGACTTTGCTTACAAGGGAGACTCTTTTCAACTCTGTTTTAGTTACGCCAACATGTAGTGAATAGCCACTACTCCTAGCTGCTACTAGTAGAAATTTGTGGTGTTTAAACATAGTAACTGTATAGTTTTTATAGGTCAGGCTTTCTGAAAAAGTTGGTGCGAGAGATCATCAGGAAGAGATCTGTTAAGTATTAAAATATTAACAATTATTATAATATTTATAAAATAAAAATACCAATTAAAGATATAATAACTTAGAGTAGTAGTAAAGTTGTTGTACTTCCAAGCTAGCTTAACTATAATACCAAGTTCAAATCTTACTAGTGATATTTTAAACAAAAATACTTGTATTATAGCAACAGACCTTTATTAATAAATTAGATTCTATTACTTATAACTTCAGTTATATCAATATAGTTTGTATACTAGAAGGTTCTAGAAGCATTTATACAAACTTGAGTTATATAAAAATACAAACCAGTATAGATAGTACAAATCTACAATAAGACTTTTAGAACTGTATAAAACTAATAAAGAGAACTTGAAGATCTGAAACTAGTTTAGCAAAACTTTAGTAGAAAAAGTGAAAATATAATAGTACTATAAAACCAAATCAGACTAAACTATAGGGGTAATAAAAATAATTTCATATCTAAAGACTTGGCTTATAACTCAAAAACTTACTAATTAATTTTAGCTTTTATTTATTCATCTCTCTATGATTATATAATTTTATTTTTAAATTATTTATTTTTATAATTAATGAGTTATTTAATTTTATTTTTAAAGTTTTAAAAAATTTAATAAGTATTTGTTTTTTTTTAAATATTTTAATATTTATTAATTCAAATTTGATAAAATTTTAATATATTATAATAGAAGATATTTTTTATATACTATAATATCAAATTTTAAAACAGTTTTGATAAATAGTTGATTAAAAAATTAACAAAAATAAAAATTTTAAATTTAATCTTTTTTATTAGTTTATTTTTTAAAACTATTAATTCAAATTTGATAAAACTTTTTTTATTTGATAGAGATAAAATTTTTTTATAAAATAAAAAAAAATTACTAAAATTTAATTACTAGTTATTGATATAATTAAAATTTATTAAAAAAAGCATATAGTTATTAGGGCTATTATGTCTATTATCTAATATTTATTTACTATAGAAGCTTATTCTCCTACTCTCAAATAATATTATTTAGCCAATTAAATTAAACTAAAGTAAATTTTTTTTTTTGACCCTTTACTTTTTAAAATATTATCTAATAAATATTAACACCCTTATTTATATTAATTTTTTTATTAAATATTTGTAGATTTTTTATAATTTTTGTTTTACAATATTGCTAAAAACTATATTTTTAAAATAAAATAAAAATTAATTAGATTATATAAATAAATTTTTTAAAATTATTATTAATTAGATATTTATTTTTAAAGATAAATAATTTTTGAATTATTGATTTATTTTAAATAATTTTATTATCAAAATATTTGTCTTAGTTAGAAGATTTTAACAAAACTTATTTTATTAAGAATCTTACTACAAATAACTGACAGTAATTATTACTACCTTTAGATATTTTTAGAGTTAAAGTATGAATATTAAAAATTATTATTTTTTATATAATATAATATAAAACTAATATAAAGTAATATAAATATAACTTAAAAGTATATCTAAAAACTCTTTCTGATGATCACTTGTACCAAAAATTTTCTAAAAAACTCTATTACAAAAAATACAAGTATGTATAGTGTGTTATTATAAGTCAAAAAAAAAACTATAAGACAGCAACTATTATTTAGAGATAGTTCTTATATACTACTTGCTAATAGTCTTAAAGTTTATCACTTATCGTAGATGCAGCACCTGTTATTTAGAAATAGTTCTCATATGCTATTTGTCAACAAGTTTAAAGTTTATCACTTACTGAGAAAACAAGTATTTGCATGTCTGCTCCAATAGGAGTTTCAATAAAGGCTATAGATTGCTATTACTCTTAGTAAAGAAAAATCTACACTCTTTAAAATAGTATAAGTGCTTTTTCTTTTCTCTACTTCCTACTGATTTTACAAAAATTTTCAACAAAAAGTAGGCAAAATAGCTTACCCCTCTAAAAGATTGGTATTGTTTATATTTAACAAATTCGAATAGACTCAGTAAAATACAACCACGTGTTTGTTTACATCAATATAGTGCTATATCACATAGCAAGGATCAGTGCCCTGGTTTAGAGATATCCAAAGTTTATTATAGGTCACAGAAAGAAAATACTAATATTAAGGCAAAGCTTTACAATAGAGATATATTAAATATTGCAATTAGTATATAATTTTTTTACCTTTATACAGATCATAATAGTGCACCTTCTTCATATATATGTCATGACTATGACTTCTTTTTTTTTGTTTTTTTTATCTTCATCTTTTAAATTTCTTTTCGTTTAGTATACTCTTTTTCTCTTTTTTTTTTTTTTCTTCCCTTTATATTTTTTTCTCTTATATCTTTTCTATATGTTTTTTTTTTAGTTTTTTTTACATTGTAGATAGATTATGGTTTAGTCTTTCTGCCAAAATCAAGGTAGGAAAAATGAGGTGGTCATAATCAGTATTGTATATTTTGGCTATCCAAAGCCTTTTTTGACTTGTCTATGTCCAAAATTGTCCAAGTGTTCAAGATTGTTCAAAGCTTGTTTAGGCTTTAATAATTAATAAATCTATCTAAAAAATATATAACTATATATTTTTTTAGGTGCTAAATTCATTTCAATTAAAATTAAAATAGGTTATCTTAATAAAAGTTTAAGTAATTAAAAAAAAAAACCCTTTCCCGTAGATTATCAAAACAACAAAAAATTAAGAAAAAAAAACATTTTCAAATAGAAGAATACAAATATTTCATATATTTTTGGCCCTTAAATACTCTAAATATTATTTAATAAATCCCTAGTATAATAATAAATAATATACAATTATAGAATAGTTTTAAAATAGTACAGATATTATCTGCCT